ATACTTACCACAAAAAAATACGAACAAGAATGAGTTATCTAGATAATATTGATAGTAAATACTTTTGAACTCGAATCGTCAACTTACATAGTTTAATAAAGATCTTTATACTTACCACAAAAAAATACGAACAAGAATGAGTTATCTAGATAATATTGATAGTAAATACTTTTGAACTCGAATCATCAACTTACATAGTTTAATAAAGATCTTTATACTTACCACAAAAAAATACGATTGAATTATCTGGGATATCAATTGGAAGATTTCTAAGCTTCAATCCGGCTTTAAGTAGATTATTATTTCACGAGTGAATTATCAAGAACTCTGTTAAGCAAATGAATGAATGATTTTTGTACTCAAAATTTAAATGACCTGAAAGGTATAATTCATGTAAGTAGATTATTATTTAACGAATGAATTATCAAGAACTCTGTTAAGCAAATAAATAAATGATTTTTGTACTCAAAATTTTAAATGACCTGGAAGGTATAATTCATATAAATAACTACGAACTTGAACCACTGATTCTATAAATATTTGCAAGCTATCTAGGAAATAATAACAAATTTAATTTATACTTACCAATTAAAATAAAATTACCTGAAAATGGTTATAACCTTTACGTTTATATTACTAATACAAATAGTACTTTAGAAAAAAATATTAGTAATGAGTTTTATAAACTTGAATCACTGGTTAATAAAAATCTTTATACTTACAAAAAAAGGAAATACGAAAAAAATATCTAGAAGGTAATTTTTAACAATAAGCGTTTATAAGCTTGAATTCGACTTCAAATAAACAATTTTTACACTGCTTAAATGTGAATTGCTGTAATAAATTTTATTGAGATCGTGTTTCAAACTTCCAATTATAGAATACTAATTTCTACGTATTCTACGTATTAAAATTTTCCACATAATTACTCTAAATGAATAGATTTCTAGTGTTGCTGTTTTTTCGAAGCTATATCCAGTAAAGTTCATAAACTTCATATCTTCTGTATTGTTAATGTTGAAAATCCAAAATTGCAATATCTACTATGTTAATGATCTAATTATTTGAAGATCGACACAACCAATGCAATAAAGCTAATTCATTCTTCCACATGTATTACCGAATAAAGATTGTAACAAAAAAAAAAATCAATACGTCTAAAATAACAATACGGTCTTCAAAAGAATCATCCTTTGATAAAAAGATTTAAGACCGACTCAACAATATTATAGATAAAATTCTAATTAGGATGACCGTTTTCTCTGTTTTTTCCTTTACATCTTACATAAGTATGGCCTTCTTTCTTACATAGCTTGCATGGAGCTGTGCACCATCGAATGTTATGACTAGTCGCATTACAATTGCTGCAAGCATTTGATCCCTTATTTCCATTATTAATTCTATTTTGAAAACCAGCCTCATCTTTATTATTTTGAATATAAATGTTCGGGTTATTATTCTTATTAAAGCTTTTATTAGTTTCAACAGAGCTTTTAAATCTTTTATTTCGTGGTCTTCCTTTTGATTTAACAATATATGGATTGATAATTGTTTTTGAATTTGATTCATTTGTATTTTCATTTTCATGTAATTCGTCTAAAATCTGATCAAAGACTTCTAATATATCAAATCGTCATTTTTCAGTGGCAACTTGAGCAATTTTACGGCCAAGTCCAAATAGATCACTATATAAATGACGTTCTTTAATCTTAATATTAATTTCATCTATTGAACCTTCATTTCAAGAACCGTTGGTGATTGTGATATGTTAATATATGAAAGGTTTCCATTAATATCTATAAATGTTTGTTCTGCATGAGTAACAGTAAGATCCGGATCAGGTTCAGTTTCGTTAAAAGCTTCAGAATTATCTAATTTTAGACTATCATATTGACTTTCTAATTTAAGCCATCGTCTTCTAATTAAAGAAATATTAAATTGTGCCTCTGTACTATGAATCATAACCTGAAAGAAGTGCCGGCATATTAGCCCACGATTCAAAATCATCAAACAGGTGCAAATGTGCCCTCGATCAAATAAAAGAATAACAAAATGGGGTGTTGAATTTGGACTATATGCGAGATAGGTAACACGCCACACTTCAAGAATATTTTCTTGATTAACCTTATTGATAAGAGATTTTAATGATATTAGTGCTATATCAGTTTGGTTACTTGTATCTTGATTATTTTCTTCGACATCCTAATATTAATAAAAAATAGAATCATTAATTTAATATGTAACAAAATAAATAATTCATTTAGTTACAGAATTATTTTTTTAGTTTAATTATTTTAATTTAACTAAATGCTCAAATAATATTAACTCTTAAACAAAAATACGATAAACCGTAATATATATATTTTGTATAATGAATATAGTTTATAGTTCTATAATTTTAGATGTATAAATATTTGAACAAGTTTTTTTTATAAACTTACTGTAATAGTTTCTAATTCTTCCTGCGGGACTAAAACAGCATTATATTCTAAGCTTATATCGAGTTGTGCTTTTTGAATAAGATACATTTCTGATATAAGATATATTTTTAATTCTTCAATTATGCGTGGAAAAATTCGTTGTGATGCAGATGTTGTGGTATATGTATATAGTAATGATTCCATCCAATCATGATATTCAGATTTAGTAGTTTGATTATGAAGAAAATTCTGAATACCTTGAAAAAAATCCACCAAACTGCTTTGCGAGTTTACATACTTCTTTATAATACCATTAATACCCTCAACTCGTTGAGTTGATACCATACCTGCAGTAAAAAACTGCTAATAAATAAGTATGATATTTTAAGTAATTTAATACAGCAATACATAGATATATTTATATATGAATATTTAAATTACTTTTTTTTAAGCGATAATAATTTTATAAGTAATGAAGTTATTGGTTTTTGACGAAATTTACTTTTTTTCAAAAATAATTTAGACACCCATTTATAAATATAATACTATATACTTACTGTGCAAATAAATGCTTTGGCCCACGATTCTTTAATTTTATCTAATGTTTCCATTAAATAACTATTGGTAGAAGGGAATAATTCAATTAAATGGTTCCATCTAACTTCAAAAAGAGCCTCATTCAAACTATTATAAGCTAAATAAAATTTAGCTAAAAATTCATGATAATTTTGGCCCAAGGAGCTTTGAATATGGCGGTCCAAGTTTTGTCGAATGTGAAATATGCAGTGAATATGTTTCACAGTGGGTAAAAATGTTTTTACTGCTGCATCAAGTCCTGTATCTGCATCGCTTATCAGAACCAATAGTAAAATTTGATCATTCGCGTTTAATAGTTGTTCAAAAACCCATGTATAAGATGTTGATGTTTCATCAGATAATAGTGCTTGTGCAAGAACTCGTATATGATTTCGATTATCAACACCAACAAACAAACAAAGAGCCATTGAATATTTATTTGTTCTTGAGGTGTTATCTGTTACAATCACATCATGATACCGCTGATATAAATCACATTGATTTGAATCCATCCAAAAAATATGAAATAACCTTCCATTGTTAATTTTTTTAGCAATATATAATCCGGCATCATCATTTTGCTGATTTTCAAGCATGTTAAGTAACAAAAATGCATCATTATCTGGATTATTAATCTTATTACAAACATTATCTTGTTTAAAACGTTGAATTGCATTGACAATATCCCTTTCTAAAAGAGTATGTTGGGAAAATTCAGCAATTAAAAGATTTCTAATCATAAAACTACCTATCCTAGGTGAGTTATTAATATAAAAACTAATTCGATCTAAAACTGGTTCTGGCAGGCTACGATATGATGGTGCAAATTTTGCTGTTACAAGATTAAGAGTATAATTTGCATGTTCTGGTTCGAATGTTGTTACATGTGGATTTGAATCAGTTTTTGGCCAACAAATATTAATATAACATGTGCATTCAACTCGTGAAGATTTTTTTGCTTGTGTCGTATTATTTTTTGTGTTTGATCGTGGTTTGCCTGCATGATGGCATTCAAATACTTTTTTAATACTCTTATCAACTCGGTAATAAGTATTTTGTAATCTCCAAATGAATCCTTTTGTTTTATCATAAGTATATAATACTTGATCTATGTGTTCCCAATTCTCAAACTTATAGCCAATTGTTAACTCTTCTGCTTGTTTTTTTAACTCTTCACTAATTTGAAGTTCTTGCAAAGTTTTTTGACGATCTTTTCTTGCAATAACTGATTTGGATTTTAAATTTACAGCACTCATGTTACTATTAATATGACTTAAATCTAAATATTATCGAAACTGTTTGTTTTTTAGGAGTGATCTGTTGCTATAGCGACACCCCAGGATCGCCAACAAAATTCTGCAGGCACGTGATTTCAGACAAATCAGATTTCAGGATTAGGTGTAACATTGCACAATAAAAAAAAAATGTTCGTTTTGTCAAACATCGCCTATAACTCAAAATTCTGCAAAATTGTGTTGGCAATCCTGGGTAAGATCTATAGCGACCTTGTAATTATCTAATAAAAATCAAAAACATGATCAAACCCAATCTACCCTAGTGAGACCATGAAATATTGGGGTATTTCACGCACTAATTAATCAAAACTATGCAATGTGCTATAATAATGCGACTATTATAAGATTTTATGCATAAAATTGATCGACAAAACTGCAGCGTCGTTACTAGTAATTTGTTAGTAAAGATTAGTGTTCAACAAATTGACGCAAACAGTGTACTAACAATTTTTTTTCAGCAATTTTCATAGCAAACAATTAATGTAGTGTAGTCAAAAGAAGTTACAGTTTAAAATTTTTAATTAATTAACAATTTAAAGATACTAACTTAGCGTGAATTTCTTCTTTTGTTTTGTTATAGGTTCTAGCTACGTTTGTCATAAATTAGATGGGATTGGCTTTCATAACTGAAAAAATAAAACCGTAACTTTGACAAAGGGCCTTTTGTTATATTATATATTGAATTTTATTGTAAAATTCGAGATAGTTTTAGTGCTACGTCTTTTTAAATCTCGCTTTTGTTATCATTAATTATGTAAACTAAAAAAATAAGCATTTATTTCGAATTGGCTTTTGTCTCTAATTGCTTTTGTAATAAAAAACTTTAAAAGCGTAACAGAATGATTTCAAAAAATAAATTTCGCGTATTATAATTTTTAATAAAACTGAATCTTTAATTTTGAAAATTGCCTCCTTCGAAACGTAAATTGCAATTAAAAAATGCACTTAAATCACTCGCCAAAAAGCGCAAGCTGAATTTGCATAAACAACTTGTCAACGAAATAACAAATTATTTAAAAATAATCAAAATTCAAGAACTTAAAATGATTTGTGATATGATCTTTAATGCCTCAAACACATTTAAATCAAATTCTTCTACATACAATTCAATAATTTATACTCTTAAAGGCATGTCGGAAATAGATCTCAAATCGGCATCTCATCTTTTACGCACGATGAGGTATTCTCATGGGAAAAATAAAGATCAAGTTATTTCACCCTATATCCAAAAAAAAGCATCCCAATATATATCTGGTTCCCTATATAAACCTGGAAAATCCTTAGATGCATTAAATCGTGATAATAAAAAACTCAAACAAAACTTAAAACAATACAATGATCTAAAGATCATTTAACTCGTAAAACTCGAAAACTTAATGGCTCAATTACGCAATTTAAAAACAAGCATAATAAACATATTTTTCGAATTCGTGCAATAGCAAGGTGTCCGCCAGGCAATAACATTAAAACCGCGATTCAAGATCTTGTTAGAAAAAATAAAAATGAATTTAACCCAGAATTTATTAAACTTATCATGCAGGTTTCTCAAATTGGCCAAATGTCTTTTACTACTGCGGCAGCTAGTATGAAATCCGTTTTTAATTTTTTAACAGGGGATAATAAACAATCTTGGATTTCTGCAGCAACCATTAGTCATTGGCATCGCGAGGTATCAGAGTTACATGTGAGATCCATATTTCGGCCAGCAAATCAATCGGTTCATTTTGCATTTGGAATCATGGCAGATGAATCTGGTCGGGTGAAAAAAAAATATTAGTAAATTGTTTTATATTTTGGAATTTAGAAAAGAATATGCCAGATGTTGTGCTTCTAGAGACAAAAGATCTTTAACACTGCAATTCCGATACGGTTAGTCAGGCTCTAAATGAAACATGTACAAAGTATAATCTCGATACTGCGCGATGCCTTACCTTTCTTTCTGATAACATGAACTACATGAGTGGTCATGTTGGTGGTGCTGTAGCCAAATTTAATCGATTAGCTCAAAGTAATTGCGTCTGAATTCCTTGTGGATTGCATGTCTTACATTTAATTTTAAATAATTTTGAGAAAACGGCTTTTGGTAAACTTTCTGCAAGTACTGGGTTTTCGAAGACACAACATCCATATAATCTTCTTTATTTGGCATGGATGCTGCATGATGGATATGCTCAAAGTGATAAAGATTCGCCGCTTAATATGAGAAGTGAGATGATTTAAAGCCTTTATAAAACACGCCTTAATTATCAATTAACTAAATATCAAAATCCTCTAAAATCACGATGGCAATATGAATTAATTGCAGCAGAACAATACCTTGAAAAATGTGAAATTCATATTGAATTTGTTGCATGGTTTCTTCCAAAACTCAAGGCTCTAAAAAAAGTTCCGAGTTCCTATATTCAAAAATGGGAACTGTTCTAAAATTGGTTAAATGATTCGGAGTTGAACATTAAAATACAGTGCCTAGTAAAATTTGGCCAAGAATTTTACCGCCCATTTGCTGAATTTCTCATTGGTTATGATCTCGGTTCGATAGTTTTATAGTCAGATAATTCATTACAATGCTTACTACCCGGCCATTGGGCACATCAAATGCCAGATTTTATTGTTAATTCTACGTATAAGCTCAAAAGTATGTTGGAAAATCTTTATTTGTTTTTTGGCAGTGAACTTTTGCAGAGTACAGAAACTATAGATGATTTAAAAATCGAATTATTAGTTAAAAAATTAGAACTAGGAATACAAAAAGAACTTGAATTGCAACAAAAATGGTTAGATTGTTGGCTTCATCTTCCCTTAAGCATGTGTCATCTTGGTGAGGTAATGCACACCAATTTGTACATAGCTATTGGCATGTAGTACTTAAAAAGCCTTGGCTGAAAGTTCCTAGTCTAAAAGAACTTTGCTATGCAAAGTATCTTGAAACTGACATTATTGAAGAAACTCTTGATGATTTCGGTCTTAAAGATGCATTAACTAATAAAATGTTTTTTCAAGAATTCAATTCATTCATTAGTAAATCAACTGCCTCACTTCACCAATTCCCGCTGCTATATGACTTTGTTAAAAACAAAATTTGGTACATTATTGTTCACCAGCAGCAAATCGAGGGCCTATTTAATAAGTGGGATTTAAAAACCACCCAAACATGACCAATTCTACCCAACAGTCTAAAATGCGTCTTGCTGTAGCAAAAATAGACGAAATTCAAGTAACTAGTGAACAATTGAGAGATATTCGAAAAGAAAACAGAACATCTCACAAACCACAAAATTCTGCTTCATTGGTCCAGTCAGACGGGCAATGAGAGAGAGAGGCAGATAATCTGTTTAACAAATTATTTATAAGTCATTAATTTTTAATAGTAAAAATTTTTAAAAAATGTGTCATTTTTTTTTTATTAGATTTTTTTCGTTACACACAGATCTTTGTATTCTATTGGCCAAATAATATAGCTGGGGTCTGCTCATGGTCTATATAGGTGCATAAATATCAATAATACGTAAAAAATCTGTACTATTGATTTTTATTATTATACCGTACATAGTTTTGATTTATTTAGTGCATGAAATACCCTAATGAAATATCGACAATATGCATGATCTGCATTAATAAAAAACCTACATTTGTGACTGAAATTATGGCCATCACATTACTGTAATGAAATAGAGTCTGAAATTTACATATACTTAGTTAATAATCCTAATTCTAAATTCTAATCCAAACTCTAAAAAAAAACTGAAAATGCATCATAAATTTTTATCAAAATGTAAAATTTCAAACAAAAATTTTATTAAATTTTATTTAAATCTATTACATTGATTAAATATATTTGATAAATTGATTAATAAATGCTGAATAATGCTGAAATTTGAAGTCTTAATTTGAAAATATAAACTCTACTAAAATCTACCTATACTCTTTTATTCTAAACACTAACCTTAAATTCTAATCGAACTATAAAAAAAAGCTGAAAAAACATCTCAAAATATTTTAAATTTTCATAATAAAATAAGTCAAAATTTCAGTATCATCCGATTTCAGCATCATCCACAACAATAAATATTATTTTCACCGACTAAATTGATAGAATAAATTAAATAAGAAAAATTGTATAACGATTATAACTTATAAATTTGAATTGCTTACTCTAAACATATTAAAGTATTTTTTGCATAAATTGATTCAAATGAACTGAATAAAATGAAATTAAATGAGAGACATTGTATAATGATAAATACAGTATCTATAAATGTAAATATATTGATTAATTAAATTAATGTAGTGTTAAATAAGAAATTATGTAATAGTAGATATCTATAGAACAAATACCTTATCTTAAATATATTGTGATAATAAATATTCTTACATGCTAACTAAACCTAAAAGATAATAAAACTCATAAAAGAAGTTATTGAAAAAATTAGTTTCTTATTAAGCAATACTATAGCAAGATATAAAGTCTGAAAATATTATACTTACCAATATAAATATTAATGTTCATGAATATGCATGAATGTTGTCAAAAAGGGACGCAAGAACATGATTATCAAAATCAAAACAATGAATATTTAAACAAAAGACTTAAAGACTCAGACAACTATACAATTTGTTACAGTATAACCTTAATAACCTGAATCAGCCAATATAATGAAGAATTTTTCTAACTAAAATTATGATTTCATCATAGTAAGGTGCCTCATTATATCGAAATCTTGATACATTGAACCAAATGCCTCAGCTTCAGAGATTCATTATATTGAGGTTAAACTGTATATCGAAAGAAAAAAAAGACATGAGGCATTAAATAATTACTAAAAATATTAGGAATAAAACGAAGGTATAAGGCCTTCAAACATCAACAATTTGCAGAAATAAGAGATACTGATAAGAATGAAACCTTTGGCTTTGTTTTTGATACATAAGTTATAAAAGAAATATTTGATAATGGGTTTTAT